TCATTCTGTTGTGATGGTGTATGACATTAATTAGTTTGCATATGTTGAAACATCCTTGCATCCTAGGGACAGATTCCACTTGGTCATGATGTCTGATATTTTTAGCATGCTCGTGAGCTCAGTTCGTTAGTATTTTGTTGGTAAATTTGCATCTGTATCTATCAGGGATTATGGTCTGTAATTTTCTTGTAGTTTGTATATTTGGCTTTGGTAGCAAGGTAATGTTGGCCTAATAAATTTGAAAGTATTCCTCTCTCATTGATTTTTTTTGGAGAGTCTGAGAATAATTAATGTGCATTCTTCATGAAAAGCTTGGTAGAATTCACTAATGAAGATATCCGGCCCTGGGTTTTTCATTATTAGAAAGTTTCTAATTATTGATCAACCTCCTTAGTACTTGTAGATCTGTTTAATTTTGTTGTTGTTGTTGTTTCTTCATGATTCAGTCTCATATGGTCTATATTTCTAGGAATTTATCCATTTTTTTATCTTATTTAATTCATTAGCCTATAACTGCTCATAGTAATCTCATATTACCTTTTGTATTTCTGTGGCATCAATTGCAATGTTGCCTTTTTCATTTCTTATTTTCAATCTTTTTTTTCTTAGTATTCTGATAAATGTTTGTCTATCTGTATGTCTTTTCTAAAAACCAACTCTGTTTCATTTATTTGCATATTGTTTTTCTAGTCACAATTTTGTTTCTTTCTTTTCTAACCTTAGCTGCTCTTCTCTTTTTTCTACTAACTTGGGCTTCGTTCTATTTGACATTCACTACAGGATAAAATTTGACTTTTTATTTGAGATCTTTTTTTTTATGTGTGTTCTGTATTATCATTATAAACACCCCTCTTAGAACTGTTTTTGCTATATTCCAGTTGGTTTGGGTATCTGGCATTTCATTTTTGTCTCAACATATTCTCTAATTCTCCTTTTGATTTATTCTTTGACACATTTCTTGTTCAGAAATGTCTTGTTTAATTTCCATATACCTATGAGCTATCCAGTTTTCCTTCTGCTATTGATTTCCAGTTTAATTTCATTGTGGTTAGGAAAGAAACTCCCATCCTTTCAGAGTTCTTACACTGTAGACTTGCTTTGTGGCCTAACCTGTGATCTACCCTAAAGAGTATTCTCTGTGTTCTTGAGAAGAGTGTGTATTCTGTTGCTGTTGGTTGGGACAGTTTATATGTCCGTTACGTCCATTTGATCTATTGTATTTTTCAAGTCTTCTGTTTCCTTATTGATTTTCTGTCTGGATGTTCTACTCATTATTGAAAATGGGATATTGGGGACTTCTACTCTTATTGCATTGCTATTTCTCTTTTCAGTTCTGTTAAAAATGGCTTTATATATTTAGGTACCCAGATGTTGGGTCCTTACATAATTATAATTGTTAAATCTTCCAGGAAAATTGGGGGGTTTTATCACTATATAATGTCCTTCTTTGTTTTTTGTGATCATTTTTTCACCTAAAGTCTATTTTCTCTGATGTAGCTTAGCCACCTGTTCTCTCTTTCTATTACTTTTTGCTTAGACTATCTCTTTCCATCCTTCTCTTTCAGCCAACATGCATCCTTCAGTCTAAAGCGGGTTTTTGTAAACGGCATATAGTTGGACCTATTTTTATCTTTATTCAGCACTCTATATCTTTTGATTGTAAAGTCATACCCAATTATACTTTTAAAATATTAAATAGAAAAGGACTTCCTATGAACATTTTGTTATTTTTTATCTGCCTTATAGTTCTTTTGCCTCTTTTTCTTCCAGTCTTCCTTTATATTGCACTGATTTTTTTGTATTGATATGCTTTGCTCTCTCTCCCTTTCTCTCTCTCATAAGAAAAAATCCTCTTCTATAGGCTTTTGTCTTATGATTACCATGGTGCTTACATAAAATATTTTATAATCAGCTATTTTTTGCTGATAACAACTTAAATTTAACCATATACAAAACCTCTACACTTTTACTCTCCAACATTTTATGTTATTAATATTATGATTGGCATATTTCTATATTCTGTATTTATTAATAACTTCATATTTATAACTATTTAATACTTTTCCATTCAATTTTTATACTAGAAGTAAAAGTAATTTTACTGCCACCATTAGAGTATTATAGTCTCTTTATTCATTTTATATTTTCCTTCACCAGTGAAATATATGATTTCATTTCACTATTTAGTATCTTTTTATTTTATCTCAAGAGATTCTTGTAGCATTTCTTATTAGGGAGTCTAGTAAAGATAAACTCATCAGCTTTTGTTTTTCTAATAAGTCTTTATCTTGCTTCCATTTTCGAAGGACACTTTTGCTAAGTATATTATTCTTGGGTGGCAGCTTTTCTTTTTTCTTTTTCCCTTTGGGCTCTTTGAATATATCATCTCACACTGTTTTAGACTAGAAAACATCTGATGAAGGAGCCACTGGAAATCTTATGAGGATTCCCTTGTATGTGACAAGCTGTTTTCTCTTGATGTCTGGCTCTAGATAACCACATCCTTTTCCAGATTTGGGAATTTTCAACAATTATTTCTTTGAATTTTCTTTCTTTTATGTCCTCTCTTTTTGACTTTTGGGGATTCACTTCAAAACACTCTGAGAACTATAATACCTGATATTGTTCCATAAGTCCCTTAAGCTTACATAAGCCTTTTTCATTTTTTTTCTCTTCTGGCTAGATAATTTCCAATGACTTATATTCAAGTTTACTGAAGTCATAGTCTGTTTTTTTTTCCTTAGTCTGCTATTGAACCCCTTTAGTGCATTGTGTAGTTCAGTTATTGTATTTTTCAGCTTCAAATTTTACATTTGGTAATTTTAAATTTTTTTCTCTTTGTTGAAATTTTTCACTTTGTGTATGCATTGTTCTTCTGCCATTACTGAGAAATGTTAGGACCATTATTTTAAATTCTCTCAGGAAAATCATATGTCTTTGTTTTATTAGAGTTTGTTCCTAGAGATTGACTTTTCCCCTTTGTTTGGGGAATAGTTTCCTGTTTATTTACCTGCCTTGACTCTTTGTGTTGGTATCTACACAAGAGGTAAAACAGCTATTTCTCTATTCTTTAGGTCTAGCCTTGTACAGAAGACCTTCAGTCAGCCTGGCCAGAAGTTCTGGGAACCACTCAAACCCACAAGTCAGTCTGACCTGTTTGTTATCAGCATCCCTCAGATTTCTAGAGTATGTAGTATTTTTCTAGCACTCTGAGACAAGTGAGACTGAATCCAGGTCCTTTGGCAGCCATGGAAAGTATAATTGATGCAGATTCTGTCCAACTCTTTCCCTCCACAGGAAGAGACTGGGATCTAGGGATTTTTACCCATTCATTCATATACATGGTAGAACAAATCACCACCTTTATTCTCACAGGTCCCCAGGCATGTAGTTTATAAGGGATCCCATCAGTACTCTGACACAGGCAAAAACAGAAGTCATTTTGTGGGGGAACCCCTAGAGAGACTGAGGCATTGGATGTAGAGTTCAACTCTTTCTTTCCCCAGAAAGAAGCTCAGAGAAGGATTTTTTTTTTTAACTTAACTTTGCACTGGGTCAGGCAGAGGGGCTATGACAACTGTAAATACAACATGCTAACTTTCTTCTCTTTCTTTTTTTTTTCCTCTGGGCAGATGGAATATGATGGGTTCTGCCAGCACATGGAGGAAGGCAAAACAGAAGCCAATCCCATGGACTGCCGTGTAAAAATTGAAGAATTACATGCATGGTCCAAGTTGCTCTCTCCCTAGGGAAGAAATGGAGTCAGGGAGTTTTGCCAGCTTTTTCTACACTAAACAGAAGTGACCATAAATTCAAACATTATAATTGCTCCCACTGGCCCTAAGGTATTTAGAATATGCTAGCTCCCATCAGTGCTCTGAGACAGGTGAGATAGAATCTGGTGTCTTGGGTGGCCTCTGAAAAATTTACATTGTTGGATGTGCAGTTCACTGCTTTCCCTACCCAGGGAAAAACTGAGAGCTAGGGGTTTCCTTTTGATGATATGTTGCTGATCCCAGAGTACATGATGAGATAGTATTTTGAATTTTTTCTGGCTTCACTGTGGTTGAGTTTGCCTTCATCCAGGAGCTTCTCAATTAGTTTGTGGGTTGCTCATTTGTCTGTGTATATTGTTGAATCAGTGTATTCACTGAAGAAAGAGGAATCCTGGACTTCACATTCTGCCATCTAACCAATGTCACTTCTTCCATGATGTCTTTCCAACTTTTTTTCCTATACAGCTGAAATTTTTGATGAATTTGAATAAGTTAAAACAAAAACTTACCATAAAGATATTTCTTAGGGTAACTTTGTCACTTGAAAAGGTCAAAATAAATAGAAAATATTATGCTTACTAAAGCAAAGTTTCATAGGTCTTATTAGGAATTTCTTTTAATATGTTTTATTTCAATGGTACAAGATATTTATTTAATGTTCTGAAGTAGAAAGTACAATATTATACCTTTACAAGGTCAGAGAGAAAACTGGAAACAGAATTTGAACTGACTTGAATTCAAAAACTTGCTGTAAATTACAAACAGGTATCTTTTTCTTATAGTCTACTGAATGCAAACATTTCTTTTTCATCACAAATTTAGAATTCTCATATTTAGACTTAACTTGGCACAAGTTGGAGAAAGTACAGAGGCAATGTTTCTTAATACTATTTATCAGTGTTTCTGGGAAGAGATTAATAACCGCTTAGCTTAGAGTTTTTCCATTCTGCCAGAGTGTGCCTTTACATCAAAGCAATAAAAAGATTCCCCTCTATAATCATTAGAAATGAAATACACAACAATGGAACTTGAAGCCCATTTGTTCTTCATTCTTGTTTCCTCAACTAGTATTCCCTAAGAAAGGGGCACAGAACACACCTTATGATGACAATGGAACCCAAGTTCCTTTTTAAAAACCAACATTCTCACAAAGACAATTGCCTATTTATTCAGTAAAACATTTCCTGTTTAGAATTCTGAGAGAAATTTCACCTGAAGAGCTTGGCTCTACACAAAGAAATTTCATGTTAGAAAATTAAGAGAGGGGAGAGAGAGGAAAGAGCCCCTCTGGACCTTGGATTGGCCTCACAGTAGCCTTTTCTTCCTTGAGAGGCACAACAGGAAAGAAAAAAAAAAAGAAGAAGAAAAAGAAGAAGAAAAGAAAAAGAAAAGAAAAAAAAAAGAAAATTAAGAGTACCTTATTTCATATGAAGTTACAATTCTGTTTCCAAGTCTTATTATAATGTGTGCCCTGAAAAACACTGTTTTTAAAGCAAAAATTTGATATGGTTATAAAGACATTCCTTTGGGTCTCTTCCTTTTTCTTCATTCTGCACTACATAAATTCATATTCGAGTATTTATTTAAAAAAAAAGGCCAGTCATGTAATCTACCAAGTTGTCCTAGTCCTCATGTCTACCACCTGTTAGCCATCTGTGACTTCAGAGTGTTCATTAATCCCAAGCAACAAAAGTTGAAGTGTACATTATTCAAAGAAAGCACGGAGTGGAAGGTTAGCAGTTAACATGAGAGACATGACTTTGCCATTGATGTCCATGAAGAAGAGAAAACTACTGAGACATCAATCACATTCTTAATTTTTCAAGTACAGTTATAGTGAGGCTGTGAATGGCAGTATCAAGAACTAAGAAAAGTTATAATGGAGAGACCTGAACTAATTTGGAGTATTGAGTGTCATGTAGTCAATGAGACAAGGGCATTCCAAGCTGAAGAGATTATAATGTGAGAAGCATTTAATAATGTATGCTAATAAATGAAACAAATCACTTAAAATAAATTCAGGTTTCTCATTGGAATGTTCATAGAACTCGAGGAGTCTGCAAGGTGTTACTGGAGCTTTCACTAGATTAGGAAAATAAACCAGTAGGGGCATCTTTTTATAACTTCACAAACCATAAAACATTAGCATTGGCAGTAATGGGTTGTTACTGGGTGGCCTAACAGCAATGCAGTTAACATCTTGCAGGTCTGTGTGTCAGTGTGTAGGCAATATCCATTGACACATGTCTGATGTGCCAGTAGCTTGACATAGTATTATTATGATTCCTAAATGGTCATGAAATTTAAGAAAACTTTTTGCTCCATCTAGTTTATCTATACAAAGGCCAAGATCTATTTAATGTAGTGTCATCAAATCTGGAAACAAAAGACCTGACATGGACGGTGTTGGCATCTCTGCTATTAATGACGATCAACGTGAAAGGATCTACATTTAATGCTTAAAAAAAAAACAAACTAAAGTTCTGATATTATAATACCCATTGCTTGCTTTCCTGAGAGATGCTGGCATTAAAACTTGAAGATGAAATTAAAAATTTTATAGTTGCTCTCATTATATCAAAGAAGACATTTGGTATTTGTTTTTTAGGGATTGGCTAGCTTCACTAAGCATAATCTGCTCTAGTGCCATCCATTTCCCTGCAAATTCTATGATTTTGTCATTTTTTAGTGCTGCGTAATACTCCATGGTGTATAAATGCCACATTTAAAAGATTAACATTAAACAGATACATGAGGTGGGATGGAAAGGGAGAGAAAAGGGAAATTGCATGGTAATGGAGGGAGACCCTCATTGTTATACAAAATTACATATAAGAGGTTGTGAGGGGAATGGGAAAATAAACAAGGAGAGATATGAATTACAGTGGATGGGGTAGAGAGAGAAGATGGGAGGGGAGGGAGGGGGGATGGTAGAGGATAGGAAAGGTAGCAGAATACAACAGTTACTAATAGGGCATTATGTAAAAATGTGGATGTGTAACCGATGTGATTCTGCAATCTGTATTTGGGGTAAAATTGGGAGTTCATAACCAACTTGAATCTAATGTATGAAATATGATATGTCAAGAGCTTTATAATGTTTTGAACAACCAATAAAAAAAATTAAAAAAAAATTTATAGGTTATAAAACAAACACCAGGTTTTTTAAAAAAAAAAAACTCTAAACAAAGACAACACAAATGTGTGACCATCAGAAATCCATATATGTAATTAATAGAGAAATTCTCTGTAGGGTATTTGAACTGAGAGTGGAATTGCAGGAATACTGGCAGAAAAATACAGAAGGTCATATTTTTACTATGTGATTGAATGGTGAAGACTAGCTGCAGAGACCAACCTGCTTAGCAAACATTTTTTCATCACATAAACCAGTTGGAAGAGTATCTGCAAGGCCCTGAAGAAAATGTTTTGATTCCAAGTGACAAGATGCTTGGCTTTGGAAGAAATAGAATCACTGGGGAAAATCAGGTTGCAATGGAAAACCTTGAAATGTTTGCTGTGCTGTTTGTATTTGAGTGAGAAATGTCATGAGACCATTTCCAATCTTACCAGCACCCACCTTGAAGACCATGGAACAGAATGGCCAGTTTAACCTGCTACCTGGTACCATAGTACATGTCCCCTGCCAGGTGGAGAGCTCCTCACTGACTCTCTTCCTTAATCGAACAGTTTCAATTTTTAGTATCTGTGAAGTGGAAAGCAAACACACATTTCACATTATGGAGGTAAATTCCATTATTTACTTTCAATTAATGCACGCAGAACTCTATAAAAGAGATTAAGAAATTAATATATGTATATAAAACTTTACTATCTGTCTGAACATATATTTGAACGTGACATGTGACTCAGTAAGAAAATGTTTATTAATAGCTTATACAGAATTGTTCTTATGTTATATATTTTAGTTTATTTTTTTAAATGTATTTAATTTTGTTATATATGACAACAGAATGCACTACAATTCATATTACACATATAGAGCACAATTTTTTTATATCTCTGGTGGTATATAAATAGAGTCACATCTTTCATGTTTCCATAGATATACTTAGGGTAATGATGACCATCTCATTCTACTATCTTTCAAACCTCTGTGACCCCTTCCTTCCCCTCCCTCCCCATTTCCCATTTGCCCTATCTACAGATCATTTAATCCTCCCCCAACTCCATGCATATTATGAATCAGCATCCTTAAATCAGAGAAATCATTTGGCATTTGGTTTTTTGGAACTGGCTAATTTCAGTTAGCATTATATTCTCCAGCTCCAACCATTTACCTGAAAATTTCATGATTTTATTCTCTTTTAATGATGAATAATATTCCATTGTGTAAACATACCACATTTTCTTTATACATTCATATACTGAAGAGCATCTAGGTTGATTCCACAGTTTAGCTATTGTGAGTTGTGCTGCTATAAACATTGATGTGGCTGTGTCCCTGTAGTATGCTCTTTAAATCCTTTATGTATAGACTGAAGAGTGAGATAGCTGGGTCAAATAGTGGTTCCATTCCTAGCTTTCTAAGAAATCTCCATACTGCTTTCCAAATTGGCTGCACCTATTTGCAGTCCCACCAGCAGTGTATGAGTGTACCTTTTTCCCCACATCCTCATCAACACTTACTGTTTTTTGTATTCTTAAGAGCTGCCATTCTGAATGGAGTGAGATGAAATCTTAGAGTAGTTTTGTTTGCATTTCTCTAATTGTTAGAGAAATTGAACATTTTTTCATATATTGGTCGATTGGCTGTATATCTTCTTCTGAGAAGTGTTTGTTCAGTTCCTTGGCCCATTTATTGATTGGGTTATTTGGTTTTTGAGTATTAAGATTTTTGAGTTCTTTATATACCCTAGAGATTCGTGCTCTATCTAACATTTGTGTGGTAAGAATTTGTTTCCAATTAATAGGCTCTCTATTCACCTCACTGATTGTTTCTTTTGCTGAGAAGAAGCTTTTTAGAATCCACCCCATTTATTGATTCTTGATGTTAATTTTTGCCCTATAGGAGTCTTATTAAGGAAGTTGGGGCCTAATCCAACATGATGAAGATTTGGGCCTACTTTTTATTCTAATAGATACAGTGTCTCTGGTTTAATTCCTAGGTCCTTGATCCATTTTAGTTGAATTTTGTGCATGGAGAGAGATAGAGGTTTAATTTCATTTTGTTGCATATGGATTTCCAGTTTTCCCAGCACCATTTGTTGAAGACGCTATCTTTTCTCCAATGTATGTTTTTGGCACCTTTGTCGAATATAAGATAAAGGTAATTATGTGGGTTAGTCTCTGTGTCCTCTATTCTGTACCATTGGTCTACCAGTCTATTTTGGTGCCAATACCATGCTGTTTTTGTTACTATTGCTCTAAAGTGTAGTTTAAAGGATTGCTTTAGCTATTCTGCGTCTCCTATTTTTCCATATGAATTTCATGACTGCTTTTTCTATTTCTATGAGGAATGTCACTGGGATTTTGATTGGAATTGCATTAAATCTGTATAGTGCTGTGGGTAGTATGGTCATTTTGACAATATTAATTCTGTGTATCCAAGAACAAGGGAGATCTTTCCATCTTCTAAGGTCTTCTTTGGTTTCTTTCTTCAGCATTCTGTGGTTTTCATTGTAAAGGCCTTTCACCTCCTTCATTAAGTTGATTCTCAAGGTTTTTTTTTTATGCTATTGTAAATGGGCTAGTTTTCCTCCTTTCCCTTTCAGAGGATTTGTCACTGATATAGAAATAGCTTTGATTTATGGGTGTTGATTTTGAATCCTGCTACTTTGCTGAATTCATCTACTAGTTCTAGAAGTTTTCTAGTGGAATTTTTTGGGTCTGCTAGGTATAGAATCATATCATTGGCAAATAGTGCTAATTTGAGTTCTTTTCCTATCTATATCCCTTTAATTTCTTTCATCTGTCTAATTGCTCTGGCCAGCGTTTCAAGAACTATGTTAAATAGAAGTGGTAAAAGAGGGCATCCTTGTCTTTTTCCAGTTTTTAGAAGGAATGCCTTCAATTTTTGCCATTTAAAATTATGTTGGCCTGGGGCTTAGCATAGATAGCTTTATGATGTTGAGATATATTCCTGTTATCCCTAGTTTTCCCAGTGTTTTGAACATGAAGGGGTGCTATTTTTTGAATGCTTTTTCTTCATCTATTGAGATGATCATATGGTTCTTATCTTTTGATAAGACTATTGATATGATGAATTACATTTATTGATTTTCATATGTTGAACCAACCTTGCATCCCTGGAATTAACTCCACTTGATCATGGTATACTATCTTTTTGATATGTTTTGTATTCAATTTGCCAGAATTTTAT